CCAAGTCCCTCCTAGGCTCGCTCTCTCCACACACACACACACACACACACACACACACACACACACACACAAACCCCGCCAGGCAGCGTGTCCTGCCCACGGCTGCCTTGGCTGGGGGAGGATGGAGTTTGTAGTCCAAGCACAACAAAGCGGGGGTGAGGGAGGGGGGAAATGAGGAAGCCGCGCCATAAAACGGTGGTGGGGGCTCTTTGTTCCGTCATAGCAGGAGAATGTGGGGGCCCACAACTCCCCTCCCGCGCCCTCTGGGAGGCAAGGATGATGGGAGTTGGAGTCCAAGCCGCACACAGGAGCGACGGGAGTTGGACGGTTTTTGGGGAGGGGTCGTTTTAAATGAAAATAGGGGTGGTGGTGGTGGTGAGGGGGCTGCAAAATGAGGGGGGAGAGACCCCGTGGGGAGGCGAGGAGGGACTCTTTTTGTCTCTCTCGGGGGCGGAAGGGCACTCCGCCCAGGCCGCGTCACCTCCTGAGGTGGGGACCGGTGGGGGGGGCGAAGGCGGCGGCGACGGACTCACCGGGACCCGGTCGGGGTACTTCTTCCGGATCTTCTCGCCCTCGGAGCGGCGCTTCTCGAAAGGGTGCTCCTCCTTGTAGACGAACTTCATGGCGGCGGGTCGGGTCTTTCGGTCGGTCGGTCGGTCGGTCGGTCTCTCTCTCGAGGGGGGCCCAAAGGCGACGGAGGCGGACCGGAGACGGGCCGCGCCACAACACCCGCACTGCGCACGCGCGCTCCGCCCCTCGGCCGCCCACCCCCCTCCTGTGCGGAAGGATACCTGGAAAGAGGCGGAGGCGGGGCGGCCGGGCGGTGTCTGTGACGTAGCCGCTGCTCCGGAAACGGCGCACGGCCGCGCCGCCCTGAGGGCTGCCCGCCACGCAAGTGGCGCAAACGTCGAGAGAGAATACAGAAGGACGTCGCCCGCGGCCGCCGAACTCGCCCTACGCGCGGGACCCGGCGAGGTCTTCGGCGGTGCGGTTGTGGGCACCGCTGATTTTTTTTTCCTAGGCGCCTGGCCCTTCGCTCCTCCTCCTCCTCCTCCTCCTAACCCATAATAGTCCTCCGGGAAATTCGGGCCGCCGCCGTGACCTCAACAAAGGGGGAGGCGCGAAGGCGCCCCCTTTTCTGCGCAGGCGCTGCGCCACTTGCGTAGCAGGGCGACACCAAAACAAAGTAGTGCCGCCGTTTCACCTCCTTTTATCTCCAGGGCGCGCTCCCGACGAAGGAGGAGGAGGGAAGAGCGGAGCCCGGTTGGGACGCCGCGGGAAGGAAGGAAGGAAAAAAGGCTCGGTTGCCACAAGGGGAAAAAAAAAGCCACTGAGGCGCGGAAGGATCGGGATGACGGCGAGGGAGCCAAACGTCCTCATGTGACTGACGTCAGCGGCGGGAGGGGGGATGGTCACGTGCTCCGCCCGAGAAGAATAAGTCCCGGCCGGAGGGAGGGGTTGGCCACGTGACAGAGGGAGGGAAGGAGGCTCCGTTCACTCCCTCCCAACCCCCACCCCACCCCGTGGACTACAACTCCCACCATCCCCAGCCCCTTGGCTGGGAACCATGGGAGTTCTAAGGGGTGTAAAATCTCTCTCAGTGGGAAAAGCCAAAGAGCATTGCAAGCGTCCGCACCTTGGCCAGACCGGAAAGTGCAAATAAAATTAAATAAAATGTCTTGATTAACAGCCCCAACCAGGCTCGCCCGCCTTCATCCTGCTGCTTTTATGTACCACAGAAGAGGAGGAGGCCAAAGGCTATTAGGGGGCTGGGGCAAAAAATAAAAATGGGAATACCCTTAGGGCCCAGTGGTGAAACCTCCTGGGTAGATCATACCTGGGGAAGCCACCGTCCTTGTCGGCTGCTCTTGCAGAGGGAGAAACCCTGGAGACGCCTGTGGGGCAAACTGACAGGCGGTGGGAGTTCTAAGGGGTGTAAAATCCCTCTCAGTGGGAAAAGCCAAAGAGCATTGCAAGCGTCCGCACCTTGGCCAGACCGGAAAGTGCAAATAAAATTAAATAAAATGTCTTGATTAACAGCCCCAACCAGGCTCGCCCGCCTTCATCCTGCTGCTTTTATGTACCACACGAAGAGGAGGAGGTCAAAGGCTATTAGGGGGATGGGGCAAAAAATTAAAAAATAAAAATGGGAATACCGTTAGGGCCCAGTGGTGAAATCTCCTGGGCAGATCATACCTGGCGAAGCCACCGTCGTCGTCGGCTGCTCTTGCAGAGGGAGAAACCCTGGAGACGCCTGTGGGGCAAACTGACAGGCGGGAGAAGATGAGGGGATGAAACCCTCCCCCCCCGCGCGCCCAAAAGATGCCACCTCCTCTTGAACACCTACAGCCGCTTGTCAGAAGAAAGGGGGGGGGCGAGGGCTACAAATTACGAGTGCGACCTACCAGGCTCTGTTCAGGGTGGCATGGGTACCCAGGTCCAGCCGCTTGTCAGAAGAAAGCGGGGGGGGGCGAGGGCTACAAATGACGAGGGCGACCTGCCAGGCTCTGTTTAGGGTGGCACGGGGTACCCAGGCCTTGCAGAGGAAAAGCGCACCTCCCACCAGTTTGCACCAGTGAGCCCTTCGCCTAAAAACCCCACGCCAGCACCCGTCCTTCCCCACGCTCCTGCCACCGAGGGTCTTGCAAGACCGTTCCTCATCCCTTGCACCCCAGCGGCTGCGATGGCTTTCAAGCAGAGGGTGGCCATGGAGCCGCTCCCTCTTCTCTCCACGCCCTCCCCGTGGGACGGCAGTAGGGGGTCTCCTGGAGCTGATTGCGCCACAGGCTGGCTTCTCAGAAGCCCAGGGAGGTCATCGATTTGCACTAGGGGAACTCTCTCTTTGGGCCGGGCCCTGGACTGAAATCCTTCCCTAGGCAGGCAGGTCTCTAGAGCACAAAAGGGCCTGCTTTCTCCCCTCTGTTCACAACCACTGTGCTTTTCGCCAGAAGGGGTCGACCCCAACTCTTATAAGTTGGCTGGGTAAACAAAGACCGCTTCTTTCAAGTTCCTTGAATAAATGTACAAGCAGGCAGAAGCCACAGCTGTTCTGGGAAGGACAGGGAGGGATCTGTCTCCCACCATGTTTCCTCCCCGTCAGGGTTTCATGCCCTCCCCTGTCACATAAAGGTAAAAGGTAAAGGTTCCCCTTGACAATTTTTGTCCAGTCGTGTTCGACTCTGGGGGGCGGTGCTCATCCCGCTCTTCAAGCCATATAGCCAGCGTTTGTCCGAAGACAATCTTTCCGTGGTCACATCTAGAGCACAAAAGGGCCTGCTTTCTCCCCTCTGTTCACAACCACTGTGCTTATTGCCAGAAAGGGGTCGACCCCAACTCTTATAAGTTGGCTGGGTAAACAAAGACCACGTCTTTCAACTTCCCTGAATAAATTTACAAGCAGGCAGAAGTCACAGCTGTTCTGAGAAGGACAGAGAGGGATCTGTCTCCCACCAGGGTTTCATGCCCTCCCCTGTCACATAAGGTGTCCTAAACCTACCTATAGGTAGCACTGCACTCTGCTGTATCTATGACCTCTCCAGCGTTTTGAGTATGGAAGACCGATCTGATCTTACGACTGCTTGGTCTTCTGACCCTGCAGCACAGGCTTCTGCGATTTAGCCCACAGCGCCACCACGTCCCCCTGTCACATAAGGTGTCCTAAACCCACCTATAGGTAGCACTGCACTCTGCTGTATCTATGACCTCTCCATCGTTTTTGAGCATGGAAGACGGGACATCTGCCTGAATGTGGAATGAAGGTGGCAAGAATTTTTTTTTTAAAGTTTCAATTACTTCTCTTCTTGGGAGATGCAGCCAGCCACATAAAAATGCGTCTCCTCTCCTCCCTCTCCCATCGGCAATAAGAACTCCTGAGCAGCAAAGGTTAGGTGTCATTTGTTTGTTTTTTTCCACCTCAGTTCAAGGCTATAATATCTCATCATTCCAGCCCTCCCCATCCCAAAAGTCAAAGGGAAAAACGAAACAAGGGCGCAGACGGGAAGGAGTCTCCCCTCAACACAAAATCCAATCCAAAAGGAAGACGGCACGGCTACTCCTGCCAACAAACCAGGAGGCGGACGATCCAGAAATGGAGGCAGGGCCTCCCGCTCGTTCTTAAGAGGACCTTATCTGAGGAAAAGGCCTCTCTCTCCATCCTCCTTATGCAGAGTAAGGGTGGGGTGCAGAGGAAACGAAAAAGGGGGAAAAATAAAAGATGAATAAAACTATTTGTACAGGGGGAGCTCGGTCTTTCCAATGAGAAACACGGCCTCGTCTCAAAAGTGTCCGTCGCACTCCTCTGTGCGGCTTGGCTTGCTTCACCCCCTTTCTTGTACATCTGCCCCCCAGAAGCAGGCGATGTCGCACCTCCCGCTGGCAACCCTGCTCATTCCCTGCCAGTGTCCATGGCGCCGGTGGATGAGGATCCGAGCGCAGCTGGCCCCGTCGCAGGGTGAGACACGCCCCCCCATGAGCTGACGCCCGAGGGGAGAGGCTGGATCGCTTCCCAGCTCGTCCCGTCCCAGAGTCCAGACAGAGTTGCCAGAGTCCCAAGCGGCAAGGGCGGCCGAGGAGGGGGGGCACGATGGCGGGATAAGGCAGAGGTGCGGGCCAAACCCGGAAGAAAGGAGGAGCCGCCGTCACCAAAGGCGATGTTGGTGGAGGTTCCGGCTTAGCACCGACCGCACGTCAGCTGTGAACCTGGGGGGGGGGAGAAGAATGCCAGTGAGAGCCACTCGGGAGGCCTCCATCGCTCCCTCCCTCCCTGTCATCAACACCCCGGTTCATCCCCATCTGCTCTGCTCAGCATGGCGCAGAACTGGGCTCTCGCCGCTCAGGAAAGATGGGCACATACATACAAAGGCATGTTTCCAGATTCTCTCCCGGCTCCCACCCTAGCCCCAACGAGGAAGCCACGCTCCTCTAAACGTTCACCACCACCCTCCACTTCTGGGGAGCAATTTGGAAATCCCGTGGCTTTACCGCAAGGCATCGAGCATAGGGAGCAGGTTGAGGAGCGCCGTGTCACTGGGGTCACTAAACCACGACTTGATGGGTATTGCATTATCTGCCAAGCACAGAGAGAGAGATTGAGAGAGAGAAAGAGGGACACCACGGTCACATCAGGTGCTCAGCTTCTCTCCTGGCCCCTCCTAAGGTGTGTGTAAGAGCCACACGGTGAGGAAGAGCTCTGAAGCGGGTCTTCTGATGGCCCAATAAATCCAATTCTGGGTCACAAGACGACGTGTTTTTAATTTCTGTTGGCTTTTCATTCACATGCTCAACTGTCACTATAAGCTGAAGGCAAAAAGCCTCCAGTTTTTATGGGCCATGGACTTTGGGGGGGTCAGGGAAGAGGTTTCCTCTGCCTACCCATTTTTACATCCGGTTGCAGCGCAAAAATGGAAGTGGTGTGTTCAAATCCCACCTCTCGGCATCCCCCAGCAGCTATGCTGGCTGGGGGACCACAATGGAAATGGGTTACTTTTCCAAGTTTATTTATTGCATTTATACCCCGCCTGTCTAGTCAAACGACCACTATAGGCGGCTTAGATGCCCATGAGCTCCAACCTCCTTCAAGGAGTCCCAGGTCTCAGGAAGCATCCACTGTACAATGGGAAGGCAGGCCCTTGAACTCACCCCACAGATCCAAGGGGGGGGGCCTCCCGTGTTCAGAAGGGGTAGGGGAGAGAGGGTTTGCACGTCCTACCTGGATGGCTCCTGTAAGCTCCTGGCGAATTGTCGAGGATGACTATGCTGGACAAGTCATTGTGTACGACCGAAAGATCCTTGATATAACTGCCCAATTCCAATGTGCAGTGCTGGGGGGGGAGAGAAGGTTTAGATGCTGATATACAGTATATCACAGAATTGAGGACACCCCCCCTCACATTTCATCAATATTTTAGTCTATCTTTTCATGTGACAAGCATATACAGTATATCACAGAATTGAGGACACACCCCCTCACATTTCATCAATATTTTCATGTGACAAGCCTGAAGAAATGACACTTGGCTACAAGGTAAAGCCAGGAGTCTACAGCTGTCAATGTGTTGTCCCCTCAAAATAATGCAACACACAGCCATTGATGTCTAAACCGCTGGCAGCAAAAGTGAGTCCACCCCTAAGGGACAAGGTCCAAATTGGGCACAAGGTGTCCATACCTTGTGTGGCCACCATCATTTTCCAGCACTGCCTTCACCCTCTTGGGCACAGAGTTCGCCAGAGCTTCACAGGTTGCCACTGGAGTCCTCGTCCACTCCTCCAGGACGACAGCACAGAGCTGGTGGATGTTAGAGGCCTTGTGCACCTCCACCTTTCTTTTTAGGATGCCCCACAGATGCTCAATAGGGCTTAGGTCTGGAGATATGCTGGGCAGTCCAACCCCCTTTACCCTCTTTAATAGGGCTTAGGTCTGGAGATATGCTTGGGCAGTCCAACCCCCTTTACCTTCTTTAGCAAAGCAGGGATCATTTTGGAGGTGTGTTTGGGGTCGTTATCATGTTGGAATCCTGCCCTGCGGCCCAGTCTCCAAAGGGATAAGGCTCTGCTTCCGTAGGTCACAGTCCATGTTGGCATTCAGGGTTCCCTCAATGAACTGTAGCTCCCCAGTGTCAGCAGCACTCATGCAGCCTCAGACCATGACTGTAGGAACGACACACTTGTCTTTGGACTCCTCGCCTGGTTGCCGCCACACACTCTTGACACCATCTGAACCAAATAAGTTGATCTTGGCCTCATCGGACCACAGGGCCTGGTTCCAGAAATCCATGTCCTTAGTCCGCTTGTCTGCAGCAAACCATAGGTGGGCTTTCTTATGCATCATCCTTAGAAGAGGCTTCCTTCTGGGATGACAGCCCTGGAGACCAGTTTGATGCCGTGTGCGGTGCATAGGCTCTGAGCACTGACAGAGGGCTGAACCCCCACCCCTCCAACCTCTGCAGCAATGCTGGCAGCACTCATCCGTCTATTTCCCAAAGCCAGCCTCTGGATAGGACGGTGAGCACAGGCACTCAACTTCTTGGGTCCACCCTGGCAACGCCTGTTCTGAGCGGAACCCGTCCTTTTAAACCACTGGATGATCTTGGCCACCGTACTGCAGCTCCGTTTCAGGGTTTTGGCAATCTTGTTATAGCCTGGGCTGTCTTGATGTAGAGCAACCATTCATTTTTTCAGATCCTCAGATAGTTCGTGACCACGAGGTGCCACGTGGAACTTCCAGTGACCCATTTGAGAGAGAGAGAGTGTGAGAGTGAGAACCGCTGTTCCCCCTTCACACCTGAGACTTGTGACACTAGTGGGTCTCATGACACCAGGGAGAGAAAACGGCTACTTCAGCCCCATTTGGATATTGTTACTTAGGAGTGTACTCACTTTTGCTGCCAGCGGTTTAGACATTAATGGCTGTGTGTTGTGTTATTTTGAGGGGACAGCACATTGACACTGTTTTTACAAGCTAGACTCCACGCTTTGTAGCCAAGTGTCATTTCTTCAGTGTTGTCACATTACAGAGTAAAATATTTATGAAATGTTTGTGTGGGGTGTCCTCACTTCTATAAAGCCCTTCCTGGTTTGGGACTTTGCCTGTGGGAGCCTCTCTCCCCAGATCCTCCCAGGCTAGTCTCTTCCGCGTTGCCACCCTGAGGCCTGCAAGCCTTTTACAAGAGGTAAGGCCCCCTTTGTGGTGGCACTGACGCTGCGGAATCCGTTATGCTGGCTCCTTCCCTCTTGAGTTATGTGCCCGTTTAAAAACATGGCTTCCACACTGACCCTGGCGGGTTGCACATCTCTGGCCCTGCCAGGACAGGGAAAATTGCCTCTGGTGCCATTTGGTTTTATGCGAAGCAAAGGGGGAGCTGAGCAGCCAAAGAAGGCCAGAGGCCACCAAGGAAACCAGCTGGTCAAGGGCCCTGTGGGCCTGCACTCCACCCACACAGGGACCTATCAGGCAGCCGGGTGTTTCCTTCTCTCCCTTTCCCTTGGAGAGCTCAATGGCAGAAAGGCAGTGGGATGACCGACCGCTCACCTGTCTGTAGTATCGCCTCTTTAAGATGCTCCTATTATTGTCCAGCTTGTCAGCCACCGCGGAACCATAGATTTCCATGCTGGCTGTAAAAACCACGAGCTCATACCACTGGCTCACCTGCAGGTATCAGGGAAAGAAAGGGACCACAGAGAAATAAGGTCACTGCCTCTGGAGCAGGAATGCACATAAAAGCAACGCTCTCCATCTCTCCAAGATAGGCTCTCTCGAAACTGTAGGGTAGCCTGCCAAGAAAGTGCTCCATCCCCTTGAGACGGCCGTAATCTTATTCACTGAAGCTGCTGTAGTGACTTCTGCACAAGACTATTTAAAAAAAAGACAAAAACTTTTGTGGCTCTTTCAAGACTAACTGCTTTATGATCATGTGAGCTTTCATGGAGAAATAAATACATAAACAACATAAAACAAGTACTGTACAGTAAGTCCACTTCCTCAGACATAGCAGCTAGTCTTGAAGATGCCACATTTTTGGCTTGGTTCCCCCCCCTTTTTTTGTGTGTGTGTTCTTGCCTGATAGGCTAAGCTCAGACTAACATGGCTAACTCTTGGAAAACTACACAAGACGAGTGTCGCTTCTGTTTGTGAAGCCGTAGTGCAGGACTGTCTGGTGGATTAAAAACCAAAGGGCAAACACAAGCCTTCCAAAGCTTTTAAGTTCTAAAAGTCTGCCAAAAAAAGGCAGCAGCTATTGGCAGACTCTGTGCAGAAAACCCCAGCTTGCAAAGGCATTGTCCACAACAGAAAAAAAGGGGGGGAAGAGAAGAGGTTTCTCCTCTTTGCACCTAAGAAGAGGAAGAGAGAGGAGTGATGCCCCCCCCAGCCTGTGAGCAGCTCCCTTCCTTTCGAAGACCTCTCCCTCAAAAGGCTTCCAGTCAACACACCCAACTTTGTAGCCTAAACACTCTTTCCTCTGAGGATTTAAATCACATTTTTTCATGACCGTAAAGGATTACAGTAAAGCAGCAGGAGGAAAAACTTCTTAATTCTAACCGACTCTTAGGAATGGGGCCCTGAGGTTTTCACTCCTGCCCCTTCAGAGAACCAGAAAACCTACAAAGCACCAGGTTGGCTGCACGACTGTTAGGTGAGGCTGCCTCTAGGAACGAGAGTGGCAGAATCTCTCCGCAGGTGTGTGAGGGGGAGCTTCCTCTCTCTCCAGGATGCCAGCCGGTCTACAGGGTGGGAGGGCTTCCTGAAAGTGAAAGAATTCTCTCCCCCCCCCCGGCCACTGCTCCCCGGCCCTTGCCATCCTACCGAAACTACTCCATATGTTGAGGACAACAAACTGGAGCAAGTTCGAAGGAGGGCTACAAGGAGGACCAGGAGGCTGGAAACCAAGCCCTAGGAGGAGGAAAGATGAAAAAGAACTGGACAGGTTTTAAGCCTGGAGAAAAGAAGACTCAGGAGAGACAGGACCGCACTGTAGGGCAGTAGTCCCACAGAAGAGGGGCAGGATCTGTTCTCAATCCTCCCAGAATGCAGGACAAGTCATAATGGGCTCAAGCTATAGAAAGTCAGATTTCGGCTGAATTATCAGGGAAAATTCCTTAACTGTTAGAGCAGTATGACGACGGGACCCATGACCTCAAGGGGAGGTGATGAGGGCTCCAATGCTGGAGGCTTTCAAGAGAAAATGGGACTGCCCTCTGTCCGATCTGTTTTGGTTTGGATTCCTGCCTTGAGCAGGGGGAGTTGGACTGAACGGCCTAGAGGAACCCATCAAAGTCCATGATTCTATGAGAGAAGTTTTCAGGGTCATGATGCAAAAGTACCCAACCCAGACTGAAAATATGGTAAGTGAAGATAGAAGCTGGAAGAGTTCAGTCCCAAGCAGCGTATGCTGGGCCATGTAAGCTTTGCTAAATTCATTTATTTCCCAAATATCCTCCTCTTAAATTGAGGAATCTCCTGCATGTCCCAAAACTACCAGTTTGGGAGCCTGCCTGACCACCCAATCATCTACTCTAAGGAGTTGGAGAAAGGAAGTTACTCTTTGCTCGAGCTGAGGCTTGAGAAATTCAGGCAAATAAATTGCCATGAATACTGCAAGACGCAGTAGCCTCTTTTCATTCTCAGGCTTTGGGAGAGTGAAGTCCAAGGGCAGCTGGATGGAAGGAGTGGGGAAAGAAAAGAGAGGACTTCATGGCACAGTAGTTCAACTGCAGTACTGCAGCCAAAACTCTGCTCACCACCTGGCTTCAAGCCCAGGTAGCCAGCCTCAAGGTTCACTCAGCCTTCCATCCTTCTGAGGCTGATAATACGAGTACCCAGCTCATACCCAGGGGGCAACATGTAGCTTGCATAATGAAACTGTCAACTGCCCAGCAAGAGCTTTAAGCGCTATGGGGTGGTAGAGAAGCAGCATGCTTTGCTTTAATAAAATAGGACAGGTCTACTGAGGTTTAATGCTGAGCAGAATGGACAGTAATCCAGGAAGTGAAGTGAAGCCAGCTGAGCAAGTTGGACCAGGGGCTCAGCTCTGCCGGCCAGCCTTGCAGCAGGCAAGGGAAATATTGCGTAGACTGGATTAGATCCACCCATCCTCTCCTAAGAGGCCAGCATTTAGGACAAAAAGCCCCAATCACACTCCACCCAACCCAAAAGTGTTGTGGCATTTTTAAGACTCACAGATTTATCTCATCGGGTGCTTCCTCCACATATTTGAAGAAGTGGACAGTAAGCCAAGAAAAATACTCAAGCCTGAAATAAATCTGTTAGTCTTTTAAGTCGTCATTGTCTTTTTATCTTTGGGCTTTGTTTCTGGGTGTTTCTGGCAATATAGGCTGAAAGAGAGACCACAGCCTCTGTGAAGAATCCAATAACAACAACCGCCTTTGAACGGCGGAGTTGTGGAAGGGACCCTTCAGGATCATCAAGTCCAGCCTCCTCTCAAGTAGGCACATGTGGGGAAATCAAACTCCCAACCTCTGGCTCCCGAGTCAAAGGCCTAAAGACACAGAGCAATCCAGAAAAATCAATTCTGGTCTCTTTGCATCCATCAAGTCCAGCCCCCTCTCAAGGAGGCAACATGTGGCGGAATCAAACTCCCAACCTCTGAGTAATCCAGAAAAATCAATTCTGGTGTCTTTGCATCAAACTCAGAACGATTCTGGAGATGACAGATATCTACCTACCCCCCACACACACCCATCT